GAATTGCATATGTGTCTCATGTAGTGATGACATATGTATTGCATGTGAAACAATAAATCTGTAACTGAAACCATATTTGCTAAAACCAATAATGTAGCCGATGATTAATTAACCATTTCTATGATTTCAGCCAAACTAGTTTAATCATAAGAAGAATATGATAGAAAACTTAACATTGCCATTGATGTACTTAGTCAATATTCAACATGCCTAAGTTCATTGAAAGTGTAGTTGGGTTTCGGAGAATCAAGAAACGTTTGAGCAATAAGAGTATCAGTTTGATGAAGTGATTGAAGCATAATAATGTGTACAAACAACTATAGATGTTTTGTAGTTATTACTATTTATGAGAAATATCACTCAAGGAGAATATCCAACACGCATGGACTAGTAGGAAGAAGAGTAGATGAGAAATGATTTGGACATAACATCAGTCATTTCATTTAGTCAAACTAGCTTTCATTGACAAATTGTAACTGTCGTGTCTACATAATTGTCCTAGAGAATTATCTATCCATTAGAGTTATGTAGTTAATATGAAGTAGAGTACAAGTTGATGACCAAACCCAACTAAAATGTGTTCGTTATGTGGCACCCATGTGGCTTCCTCCTTGGGATGTGTGGCACTCCTTTCATGCACATGGGGGGTGCTTTTCAAGCAAAGTTCGTCATTGCGTTAGTAATTCATGATGTGGTTTTTTAAAAGTTTTAACTCTGATTAAATGCTTTTCCACTAATTTTGCTTCAATTTCTAGCCATAGCCATCCTTCTTCATTGCGAACATGTAAAAAAATGGCAATTGAGATACATATTGCCAAACAAGTTGTGATATGCCTAATACATATACATTTTGTTTTATGAATATATGATGCAAAATAGACATATAATTTGGCTGCTAGAGATGCAAATACCATAAGATGTGGTGCGTCTTTTCTTCCACCACTAGCGACAAAAATATGTCAGAACATGATAGTTTCTAAAGGTGGATTATAAATAAATAAATATGTAACTCCTACAATTTTCAAGAATTAGAACGTACCAAAGAACTCGTATATGTTTAATGTGTAACAATTTCATATTTTTTATCACCTTTAGACTACCCGTGAATACTTGGGACACTTTTCTTTGAGTGAAAAGATATAAATATGACTACTATGGTAGCACTAACTATATGGACAAAAAAGCAACATAAATGATACATATTGGGTTTCCTCCCAACAATCGTTTTTCTTTAATGCATTTTAGCTAGGCATAAAGTATTGTATGTCTTCTCATTATCTCTTCTTCTCTTCCTTGGAAAGTGCTCCATCCCTTTCAGAATATGGAATTTGAATTTTATATTTCCTTCATTCATATACATAATAGCACAAAAAGTTCTCATGAAAGGTCTTCCCCAAATAATATCACATGATGTATTACATTTTGTATCCATGATGAGGAAATCAATAGGGACATAATTTCTATTAGCTATTATTGGAACAAGGTTAACTCTCCCCAATGGCTTCTTAATGGTATAATAAGCAACTTGAAAACTCAAAGATCATTCTGCATATTTTCGAAACCAGGCACAACATATAAAGCCTTCGGGATGGTGGAAGCACTAGCTTATAAATCAAACACAGAATATATTTAATTATTGATAGTGATTTTAGTAGTAGGTTCCCAACCATACTCTAATTTCCTATGTATAGAAACTTCATGTACAAGTCTTTTAATTCGACTTTGGTAATGTGTTAAGTAAAGGTCATACTTTTTCTTGTACATTACTAGAAGAATGCCCTTGCGTTGCAACGGGGCCACATTAACTTTAAGAGTTCAATATTACGACATTGGCGACCTTTTTTACCATCAAATCCTCCCACACACACACTCTCCCCCTCCCTCTTCCTCACTCACTCTCTCTCTCTCTCTCTC